TGAACCTGACACAACTCCGGGAGGCAGTAGAAGACAGGAGGGCCTGGCGTGCTCTGGTCCATGGGGTCACGAAGAGTCGGACACGACTAAACGACTAAACACACAAACACACATGTATGTATGTATGTATGTATGTATGTATGTATGTATGTATGTATGTATGTATGTATGTATGCATTTATTTATTTATTTATTTATTTAATATCCCGCCCATCTAGACCTAAGTCTACTCTGGGCGGCTAACAACAAGTTCATAAAACAGTAACAGTATAACAACAACAATATGATTCAAGATGGCAAAAGTGAATTAAATAATGACAGGAGGGAAGGCCTGCCTAAAGAGCAGCAAGGGAGCCAGACAAATTTCTGGAGGTACACTCTTCCAGAGATGAGGAGGGGCCACTGCCGAGAAGGACCGGGTTCTTGTTCTTTCTCTCTGGGCCTCCCTCGGCGTTAGGCCCCTCAGCCGCCCCTCCTGGCTAGAGAAAGTAATACGGATAGATCTAGGTGGGAGAAGGTGTTCCGCCAGATATTAAGGTCCTAAATATCTATTTGTCACTTAATGTTTTTGTTACATAATATATAACAAATATATTTTATAAAATAAATAATTCCTATCCCTGGTGTTGCATGACTGTGATTGAGAGTGTACATGTCCATGATAGCGTATAACCAGCAATAACTACTCAATTTTGCAGCCCACAACATATTTATTAAAATATTTTAATTAAAACTAATTACTTTTCTAATTTTTTACAAGCTGAACATTGACTTTGCTACACCAGTCAGGAGAAAGAATACTAATCTCAACCTTAAACATCATGTACTGTATTTTGAATGTCTTTTACATATACTATCAGTTTCATTCCTTTGCTGTTGCTAGCCAGGAAGTTAACTCATTAGGATAGAAGCATGACGTTCCAATCTGTACTCTCTCCCTTTGAGGCCTGAATATGCTAAAATGACCATATAAGAGAAGTGTCTAATTATACACAGCCTTATTGGAAAAATTACTTCTTGGACTAAACTTTCCAGAATTTTGAGGGATTCTGTAATAACAGGAGGGGAAAAAAGAACAATAAAAAAACAGCACCTTAGCGATCTTTATGTACAGTATTTATGCATATATGTAGTTTCCTCTTCAGTACGAAAGACATCAAGAACTCAGACTATGCAACATAATATACCGTACTAAAGCCCTAAGCAGTTTTCTCCAAATTTCCATTGCATTTATGATTTTTCCCCACCAGGAACCACATTCTACAAGGTTCCAAGTTGCTCTGCCTATGGACACAATCCCTTAATTACTCTTGCTGGTAACAGAAATGCAAATGGCAAAAGTCAAAAAGGGGAGTTACATAAGGAGCAGCTAAGAATCTTGCACTCTAAAAAAGTGTTAACTATTCAACTGCAGTTTTAAAAACAATACTTTGCAATACTTGCCTGTGCAAAGCGCAGGAAAAGTGTGCAAGTATTTGTAAGCGCAGTGGCAGTCTCAGAATCCTTACCTGAGCACACTTCCCTTCTGGTAAAAGAATCACATCTGCACTTCTTAAAAAATAAGAAAGCTTAGAAACACACTTGGGACAGGAAGGGTGATGAGTGCTTGGTCCAGCTAATTAAGTTGGAGGCCTTGGGGAACCATGTGGCTGCTGCCCCTTTCATCTCTAGAGAACAAAAGAACATCTCCTCCTTGGAAGGGCAAGAGAAAAGTGTGAAAGAGAAGGAAGTGGTATCAATGGCCCTAAATGGCAGCAAATTAAGGTTGAAGGAAGGTCAACACAGGTCACAGGAGGAAAAGGGGTGTCTAGGAGACTCTGGAAAGCCCTCTGTGTTTTTCCATGCAAACACGGAGTTGCACCCTTTGACTCCCAACATGGTTGAGGGGATGTGGCCCACAGTCACCCAGAGGGACTCATGGACTTGAGCTTTGGATATCCCAGGTCCTAGTCCAACACTCAAACCACTACACCACACTCCCTTGCCTGCCAAACTCCAAAATCTGACACCATTTCTGGGATTTATTTCTGGGAACGGTAGTTTACCCCAAAAGTAACCTTTTCAAGCTCTGAGGCAAACCCCCATATATGTCAGTTGTGTCGATTTCTTTCTACTCTAATTAGTATTGCTGTATCACACAAAACAACACCAAACTAAACCACAAAAACCAGAGGGGGGGGGGGAATCCCTGGCAACTGTGGCCCCTTGTTTACTTAAAACATTTATATGTTGTCTTTTTTTCTATAAAGCTGCCTAGAGTGGTTGTTCGATTAGATAGGCGGGGTACAAATAAAATAAAATAAAATAATAAACAAACAAACAAATAAAGGATCCAAGGTGGCTTTCAAAAGAAGTAAAATCAGATACGATATAGTAGTTGGTCCTTAAGGTGCCACGACGTTTTTGCCTCGGGTGTTTTGTTTGTTTGTTTTATCTGATCAACCTTGCAGGGGCTCACACGCCTTTGAAAACGACAGCATGGCCAAATCCTGTCGTCCTTAATTAGAAGCAGAAACTCCTCGGGTAAATAATGCCCGAGGATGCTGAATAGGCCTGCGATAAAAGTGTGTGCGATTGGCCACCAGAGGGGAGGAAGATCGCGAAAGTTCACACCTCCTCCCTCCCTCCCTGCCACCCGGGCTATTCTTTATTATAACACAGGCACCGACACACCATTTCCTTTCCTCTTGCATCGCCGGGCCTCCCCTGGGGTGAGAGGCAGAAGCGATGGCGGCAGCGCCCAGCGACCCCATCCAGGCCCTCCTGAAGGAGCTGACTTGCACCGTGTGCCTGGAAGGGTTTCGGGACCCCGTCATGATCATAGGGTGCGGGCATAACTTCTGCCGGCCCTGCATCATCCAGTACTGGGGGGGCTCCTTCCGAAACGTCGTCTGCCCGCAATGCCGGACGACTTTCTCCAAAGCCAAGCTGAAGCCCAACCGGCAGCTGAGCAATGTGGTCGAGTTGACCCGGGACCTCAGCCTGCAAACTCCTAGGGACCCCCCTGCCTCCCCTCCTTCCTCCTCCTCGTTGTCGGAGGACCTCTGCCCTTTGCATCAGAAGCCCCTGAAGCTTTTCTGCGAGAAGGACGGCATCCCACTTTGCCTGTCCTGCCATGGGGCAGAAGACCATCGGGACCACAAGGTCCTCCCCATAGAGGAGGCCGTCCAGGAGCAGAAGGTGAGCAATGGAGCTGCTCTGAACTTTGCAATGGGGTGTGTGTGTGACCTGATCCAGGAAAGGGGGTGCCTTCTCTACCCTTATTTTTTCAGAGCAAGAGGGCACCCCTCATGGGGGGGGTGTTATGGCTTGCCAGGGGCTCCTCGTGGTGGTGTGGGGTATGGGCACCCCCAAATGCCTTTAGGGATAGCCTCCTGCCCAGTCAGGTACTGCCTGTGTTTCAGCCCCTCTGCCGACTCTCCTGTCCAGGGGGGAGAAAGACAGACCCTTGGCTCTTGTGTTAGAGCTCTGTGCCCCACACTGTCAGTCCTATTTTCCTAAATTACCAGGGTGTCATCAGGCACTGTCCCTCAGTCTTCCCCTTACTTTATTAATCAGTCATAATTATATGCGGTCAAGTCAGTTCTGACTTACAGTATCTACCGGCCTTAAGGGGGAACTTGTCTGAAAAGCTGGACCAAACTAAAATCCTATTTTCTCTCATTTTCTCCCTCATTTTTAAAGCGTCTGATCCAGAGCCGCTTAGAGAGCTTGAAGAAACAAAAAGATCTCTGCCAGAGGTCCAAGGAACTTGCTAAAAAGAGGATCCAGTTAATGCAAGTAGGTGTGCCTTTAACATCTAACACATATGTGTGAGAATTTAGGCACAAGACCTTGCAAGCAATGCAGTTTTGAGATGATGATGATGATGATGGCCTTCTGTAGTGAGGGGATTTCTGTGAGTCCCTCTCTTTTGATCCTTCAGGTGCCTTGTTGTTTTCTCCATACTGTATGTTGAGTGTTCCTGTACATTTTCCAAGTAGGCCCTGAATTAAGATGGACGCCAGTCTGGGCCCTTTTTGTTGTTGCTTTCGGCCACACTGCCATCCATTTTAAACCTTGCCCTCCTCTTCTTGGTCTGGAAGCTGCAACATCAAGACCAGTTGGGGGGCCGCTGAGAGCCTAGTATTAGCGGATACCTGTCAGGGGTTCAGGGTGAAGATGATGGGTTATGTGTATTGTGCACAGAAGACTTGTCCAGGGAATGGGAGGCTGTGTGCAGGCCTGGCAACCCTCTCCCAAGTTCTCAAAGAGAGAGAGATTTCCTCATGCTGCCAACCTGTTCCTTTACCTCAGAGGAGGGGAAACCTTGTCCCTTGGGCCTAAACCAGCTCATGGAAGGCCCCATTGAGTTCCCAAAGTGTCCAGAAAATGCTCTTCTCTGAAGCCAAGGCCCCTGGGGATTTTACTGCTGGATCCGTCCAGATAGGAAGACAGAGGAGCATGGAAAAACCATGTATCTATACTTCTTTTTGTATTATACGATCTGCATCTAAAGTTATATGAATTAGAACTGCTTTTTTCTTATATTGATCCCCCATTTCTGTGAGTAAGGAATGAGGGGGAGAGAAGGTGAAACTGAAACAGATGAACCGGCTCATGGAATTTATTTATTTATTTATTTATTTGATTTATATCCCGCCCATCTGGTCTGGGCGATGGGAGCAGTTTCCTTGTGAAATTCCCATGAATGTAATGGGCCTACTCTACTACAACTTATTACACCAAGCAACAGGTTTTCCACCACTAAATTCCTCATTCACTCAAATGTAGGCTATCATGACAAGACAAGATACCTCAGCAAGTAAGTTTTAAAATTTCATGATTTTATTTTATTTTATATCCCGCCTATCTGGTCGGTTAAGACCACTCTAGGCGGCTAATGCAAAGAGAGACATACTAGCAATGCGGATTGAAAATAATTGACCTGCCATTGCTGTTTATGAGTTGCCGACTAGTATGCCCTATGTAGAAAAAAATATACTGTATAGACATAATTGGATGATGTGGGGAAGCCAGCCTTACAGGGGTGAATCATTCCCTCGAGTCTACAAAAATACTGAAATGAGTTCGATGGGAGAAGGAATGCTTCTTCTAGTTAGCTGTCTTAACCTGGGGGAGGGGGGGAGTGTAAGGAATTTGGCCTTGAAGTAATGGGGAGTATTGTGAGAAGGGAGGTCTGCTTGAGTTCACATGGTATGCTAACTGGCTTGTAAGTATAGAACTAGATAGGTAGTGTTCTTGCTTTCTGTGGGTTGGATTTTTATCTGCTGAAGTCTCTGAATGCTTTGCATTTTGCCTTCATCATGGAACAGCTTCACCTTATCATTACTTTAGAGTCTTTGAGCTTACTTTTAAATTTGTATGCTCTTGTGAAACGTCTTCAGTAAATCTAATAACATTTTACAGCGGGGGCTTTCACTCAGGTAGCCTAAGGAGTTGATGGTACTAAGGACATGGCCATGCACTCAAAGCTGTTTTGAGTACTTCGTGGGTGTTTGGCATTTTCTACCTTGCAAGGTTGGTTTGCAGTCAGGAGCAGCCACCTGAGAGTTTTGTTCTCCCTGGAGCACCGAAGGAGCAAGTGGCTCAAAGGGTGTTGGGAGAAAGGGGCTCACGGGGCATCGTCCCAATCCCTAGAACCCCACCTGGCAAGCACACACACCAGGTTAAGCAAGGTAGTATTGCTGAGTGGTCAGTGGGTCCTTTCTGTGGTGATCTGCCATCCTTCACAGGGTATAAATACACCTGCTTTTAGCCTTTGTTGGAATTTACTGACCAGGAGTGGTGATTTTTCTCTCTGCTGGTGATTTTTTTTTCCTGGCAGATCTTTGTCTGTAGTTTAACGAAGGTGCTTGTCTGATTCCCTCTAACCAGGCTGTAGGAATCTGTGCTCTTGTGACATCAAGTTATGGCCACTGATGTAATCTGGCCTGTTTGAGCATGGGATGGCGGGGCCCAGTCCAGCACCTTGAGTTATTTACTCATCCCAAGTTTACATCAGATATCACTTACTTTCAAATGAAGTAGCTCAGTGACAAAAGGATTTATCTAACTTTTTCTGGCAACCTTATGGTGTTTGTCTTCATTCTTGAAATTTGCAAAGGATCACAGATTATTTTATTAAAAGGCAGGTAAAAATACACAGATTGACTTTTTTTTTAAAGCTTGGGACTTTCTGATACATGGAGTAAGTGGGTTGTGTTTTTTACATATATGTTTTGAAAATACAAGCCCTGCTCATGAATTCAGTATTGATTGTATCTGCGTCTGCGTTTGGTCGTCTTCATCAGCAGAGAACAGGGAGTAATTATGGGACAAGCTTCATTTGTTTTTATTTCTGACTTTCAGAATGTGGAGAAGCAGGCTGTGGTTGCTGAAATTGAGCAGTTCTGCCAGTTTTTGAAAAATCAGGTTGAGTTCCTTCTACCCCATCTGGAGGTGCTGCTAACTAACATCTCAAAGAAGGAGAAGGAAATCAGTGGTAAACTTACTGGGGAAATAAAGCAGCTCAATGACTTTATCTGTGATATAGAGAAGACCTGTGAGAAACCAGGGGTGAAACTGCTGAAGGAAGTCACCCGGCTCAATGGCCTTCTGAGTAAAGGGGAGATTTTGTGTTCCGACATGAAGATGGAAGACTGTCAGGTGAGACTAATGGTACAGACACCTTTGTTCTCAGCACAGGGAAAGAAAGAGTTCTTGTCCTACTTGCTGTGTGAAATCCTGTTTTAGAGATCATCATTCAACACAGAATCAAGCTCTACATTACAGCATCTATACAGCTAATAATAGGGGTTTTTTAAAAGCCAATTTCAGGCATAGGAGATTCAATCAAGCTTTAGATGCTGGTGTTGCTAATGGGGTTTATCCCTTCCACCTGCTGTGGTGAGCCATCTCAGGATACCTGTTACTTGCATAAAGAAAGAATTTTCAGTTGTCATGAATGGGTCCTTCCCTTCTCATGCAGCTGACAGTCGTGTGGATCCTAATCTGCATTTGGTTCTCAGCAGAAGGATTCAAGCCCCCTGTACCCGTCTCCTAGGATCTCAATCTGGATCAGACATTTTATGTGATTTATATTTACAAGCACACGATGGGGTGTGCAAGAGGCTGTGATTGCTGTTTACATTGAAAACTGTGTTGATATAAACATATTTTTTTCAATCATAAAGTAAATATTTTTCCCAGAAAGGGTTACAGGTAGAAGACAATGACATCCAGATATCAGTATAATTTGATGAGTGAATTAAAGTTACTGCCTCATAAGATTCATTGGGAAAATTAATAAGGGGTTGTAAGGTTGCTTCCACACAATATATTATACAATAACACTGTGCTCTTTATGGAATTTGATCGGTGTCTGGAAGTCAATGTGTTCCGTTTGGAATTTTCTAAATGTTCCCGGAGACTAACTACTCTTCTGTTTTTTTTTCTTCCCTAGGAATATGAAACTACCTACAGCTAGTACGTATCTCCTTAGTAAAACTCATTGTTTGAAGCTGATCCTTGAGAATTCCTTGACATTGGAGCTAATTCCTGCCTCCTTGATTTCAAATCTCCTGCTGTTACAACCCTGTATTTCTCCCTACTACTGTGAGAGTGAGAAATGTAGTGTTGCTTTTAAAGGTGCAATTCTTTGTGTAAGATTCTACTGTGTTTACATTTGCACTCCAGTGGCACCATTTCATTTGTACCAGAATAACAGTAGTGCAGGAATAACACAAGTTTTTAATGTGGAGTACAATATTTTTAATGTTGTATACTCCTCCCATGATCATAGTTAACATCAGCCACCCTACTAATTATGATCCGTATCCTGTTGCTGGTCCCAACTAAAGTAGGCCCATTGACTCATAGGGATATACTGTGCATAAATGTTCATTTATCATTCAGCAATGGATTTGGAAGGTCTGGTCTCTAGTTGAAGCTAGCAATAGGATACTGGCCAGGTTATCATAAATCTAGCAAATCCTTTGCAGAAATTTATGACGAGTTAACTTCCAATACTTAGAGAGGATGAAGTTTTCCTGCAGCCTGAGACAGAGATTCCTTGGGCTACATCCAGCACTTCATTGCAACTAGAACTGACCCAGTGAATGAACGGAACCTCTAAAGTTAACATTTGATTCAGTGGGTTTACTCTATTCGGGATTATTTAAGGCAACGTCAGATTAAGCCACATTTAAACAAAGGTAACTCTTAAATAGTGGGTTCATGACTCCAAGTTGTAAATCAGCATGCCTTTATTCAGCACTTTTTAGCACCAAGATAAGGCAGAAGACGCCAAATGCACATGCACCTTTATACAACGCTCACTCAAGGAACCTCCCTACTCCAACTAATTACCTGCAGCCGGCTGACAATCCAACCAGCACAGGCAACAACTGCTCCCGCTTGTACGCTCCCTACATAACAGTAACCATTTAAATTTATAAAAGATAGTGGATTATATATTCGTTCACATTTGCTTAATGCAAAAATATAACATTTCCAAGAAGAATTATATTTTACTAAATAAAAACAACAAAAAATATACAGTGGTACCCCGCATAGCGAGGTTAATCCGTTCCGAATTAACCTTCGCTATGGGGAAACATCGCTAAACGGAACGGAAAAGCCCATTGGAACGTATTAAACTTTGTTTAATGTATTCCATATGGGCCCAAAACTCACAGTTCTGCGATGTTTCCCCATGTTCCGGCGGCCATTTTGGGTGTTCCGGTGGCCATGTTGGAATCGCCGAACAGCTGTTCACCCATCGCAATGCGATAAAACATCGGTATGCGATTGCATTAGCGATCGCAAAATCCGCATCGTTAAACGGTGTGCTCGTTATGCGAGGCATCACTGTATTTGTAAACAATACTCAGTAGGTAAGGAACATTAAAACAATATCCCTCAGTCACTATTTTAAGTTCCAGTGATTCAAAAATGTATCAGTAAGCAAGCAAAATTAGACCGAAGGAAACCCCCCCCCCCCAATTCAGTGTATTTCCAGTGTTCCTCTCATATCATAGGTTGTGCTACCTAGCGTTTTCTCCTTCTTGGAATGTAGATTCACATTCGTCTTTGTTGTTCAAGTTTCTCAGGCACCAGTTAACAAAACAAGAGGATACTGGCCTTTCGTTCTTCCAGCTCTCCGCTATTTCTTGAGCATGTTTTGAGATAAAAGCAGAAGAAAATGCCATTGGGCAAAATAGGGACATTAGTTTATCACAGGGTAACCTCTGCTTCCGTGAATGCAATCTTCAAACACATGAAATAAAATTAATGTGGTACATAACAAATACTACATCTCATCATAAATGGTCATGAGAACATGATTAATCCCCCTGATAAGTTACTTTGTCTGAAGAAGGAACCACCGCGCTTACTTAACATATATTATTTTGCCTTCAATTGGAAGCATTTTTTTCTTCCATTGCCCTCTGTGAGGGCTTGAACCCTCCCTGGGCTTGGCACACAGGTGGAAAAAAAAACAGTTTCCAGCTTTGTTTTTGTTAAATATGTTTTAACAGTTGTGAAGTACAATTTTATGATGCTTTGCCTGGGGAGGGGCACTCCTGGAGCCCCTATGCCCTCCCAATTTTATTTTTTAAAGAAATGTAATTTGGCCTCTAGAGCAGCAGCCCCCAACCTTTTTCTGTCCGTGGACAGCTAGGAAAGGCGGGGCAACCCCCATGCGTGTGCGCACATGCGAACGGTGGCGCTTGTGTGGGCTGCGCTTGCATGTATGCATGAAGGGCAGCACTGCTGTTTGCACATGCACAGGAGCATGTGCCCACACAAGTGCTGCACTGCCGTATGTGCACCAAGCATGCGCACAGGCACAAATGGCCTTTGCAGGGGTGAGTGCGTGCAGGGTGTGTGTGGGGCGGGAGGTCTGTCCTCGCGGCCCAGTCTGGCTCATGCCAGGGACAGGCACTAGAGAGGCACTCTAGAGGGAACAAAGGGGAATTTCTGTTTACTTTTTAGTTTGACCAGTGATTCCCAATGCTTTTAGACTGGTGTCCCCCCTTTTATAGTTAAGTAACCTGTGATCCCCACCACACTTGCGCAAAAATGTAGTTTTAATGGGGTAAAATCATCTGCTCTCCTCCCTATGCCCAGCCTGTTTTTCATACATACACATACACACTGACTTTAATATCCCACTCTGAAATATCAAGGAAGAAATATATGTTTATACATAATGTGTCAATCACAATGGACACTCGAAGGCTACTGGATCCTGTTGGATTCCAGGATGCCATGAGAGGTGTTACGGCTGACCTGGCTGGCGCTCCTGTCGAGGCTCTGGTGGATGGCTGGTTTGCTGCCGCGACTAGGGCTGCTGACATGATCGCACCTAAACGCCCTCTCCGGCGCAGAGACCGCCCGGCACCCTGGTTTAACCGGGACCTCCGGGCGAGGAAGCGGGTCAGGAGACGGCTAGAGCGCAGGTGGAGAGGGGCCCCGACGGATTTTAATAGGATAGCTGTCAGGGTCGCTACTAACCTTTATCTTGCTAAGGTAAAGGCTGCTAGTAGATCATACCTCGCTAACCGGATAAGCGAGGCGTCCAACCAGCAGGCGGAGTTATTCCGTATAGTACGCGACCTTTCCGGAGTTGGTCCGGGTGATGGGCCTCCCCCTAGTTTTTCGCCGGACCAATTTGCAGCATTTTTTAAATCAAAAGTGGAGGCCATCCGCCGGGACCTCTCTCCTTTTTTGAGTACAGTGAGTCGAGCTGAGATGTCCAGCGCTCCGTCTTGCCCGGTGATGGAAAATAGTCTTGGTGATCTGGAAAACAAATTTGACCAATTTGTTTCTGCCAATGAAAGCATAATGGAAATGCTGCCGAGATTCAGAGGTAACAGGAGAAGGAGTTGGAAGATAGGCAGTCGAGTTTCATTCCCAGAGTGAGGCGGGAACAATACCCATCCGCTTCAATCACACCATTATGCTTTAGGATTCCCTTGGGTATGGTGTCCTCTGGGGGACCATTCCGTACTCACAATTTTCACTATTTATTTGTCCCTTTCCTTAGAGCCCAATACATATCTCTGCTCAAAGAGAAAAGGGAATGCCAGTAGAGATTGTTCTTCTTTCTTGTGTCTGCCACCCTTGGCTTGCCCAAAGAAGACAAGTCAAGCAGACATAACAGCAAGGAGAGAGAAAGGCAAAGCTAGATTATTATGTTCCAGCAAGTTGCATTTATGGTGACCTCAAAAGGTCCTGTCATTAATAAGCTCATGTCTTGTAAACTGAAGACTTTAGTGATTTAGTCCATCTCATTTCAGGTCTTGTGTTCCTACAGCCTTCTATTTTTCCTAGTATTATTGTCTTCTCCAGTGAAACTTGTCTTCTGATTATATGTCTAAAGTATGATAGCCTTTCCTACAGCCTTCTGTTTTTCCTAGTATTATTGTCTTTTCCAGTGAAACTTGTTTTCTGATTATATGTCTAAAGTATGATAGCCTCAGTCTAGTAGGGTTTTTTTGTTTTGCTTTGATTTTTTTGCTCCTAGTGAGACCTCTAGTGTGATCTGATCTACAACACACTTATGCCTTTTCTTGTCGTCAATGGTATCCATAAAGCTCTACACCAGCACCACATTTGAAAAGAATCTTTTTTGCCTCCCTGTCCAGCCTTCACTCCCATGCATTGTTATTAGGAACACCGTAGTGTGAATGATCTTGGTCTTGGTCTCCAGCAACACATCCTTACACTTAAGAATCATGTCTAGGTCCTTCCTGTTATGGAAATATCCATATAGAGTAAAATAACTCTCACAAATCCTGAGGTGAATGCAAAAAAAAAAAAAAAAAAAAAAAAAAAAAAAAAAAGCTTTATTGCACAGCTATAGCAGTGGGAAGACTGTCCAGGCAGCACATGGACCACCTGGGACTTCAAGTAATTCAAATAGCAACATAATCTTATACAGTATACCCTGAAAGTCCTGACTGTCCTACCAGCCAATTAGCCAATAGGCGCACAGTCTACCTTAGCCATGCCCCACTGTCCCACCCCAATTGCCTACCCCTCTTCCTCTTTTCTAATGTTTTATCTCATGCAGTTATGATTAATAGTACTGTACAGATCACATAGCAACAATCAGCAACTTTATTTTAGGCTGTATGTTTCAGAAGCGTGTCGGGTCAACATGACCTGGAAACCCCCTTCCCTCTTTCCTGTTTTGCACAGTTGACTGTGATTACAGTCCTTTTGCTCAACAGATGTTTTACTTCCTATAGGCCTTGTGGTTATTGCGACCAGCATTTTTGTTAGTGCCAGCATAATTCTAAAATATCTTAAGCAACAGCAGAAGCGTTTCAAGCTTAGTTTTCTTAGTGGAACATGCCCATAAGTTGCCTTCATCCTCCATAATATTCCTACTTGCCCTTCCAAGTCTCAGTCTTGTTCTGAACTCTAAGGGGAGTTGAGGGAGTGGAATGGGGATCTGGGGTCAGATCTGGTGCCCTGGAACCACTTACTCAAGGCTACACAGCCTAGCTCTTCTCCCCAGGACGCACAATGAGGAATCATCTGGCTGTGGAGCTAGCTGACTGACTCACCTATCCAGTCAGCCCATCTCCTATAAAGTTCTATACATTACTGTGATGACATTGCATCCCCACCACTGCTTTATCTACATGTTACCAGGGAGACACAGAATTTGTTTTCTCTCAGGAAAATAATGCCACATTCATGTGTTTATTTATTTATTTATTTAATTTATTAAATTTATACGCCGCCCACTCTACCCAGAGGTGTTTTCTTGCATGCCCACAGAATTACAGCAGATGCCTTGCTCTGTGTTACTAACTTACCCTTAGTAATAAGCATATTTTAAGGATAGTGTGGGAGGAAAATCTTTGGATATTCAGAACCCACAGTATAAATACTAAATAGTACTATTGTCTCCTCTCTCACCCCGCCCCATCTTTAGCTGAGATGACAAGTGTCCTCGAAGATATAAAGGATGAAGCTCTGAAACCCCATGAAAAAGGTATTTTCGGAGGGGGTGGGGCCTAAGAGGCAGGTTGTGGTTTGAAAGATGCATAAATAGGATCCCTGGGGTGGGGGATCGAGTGAGAAATTAGAAGGGAGGCGGCTGTCTCAGGGCTATGGGAAATTGTTGTCTCTCTTTTATCCCTGCTTCCCACACTTGATATGTCCACTGCAAAATCTTACATTAAATTAATTTCCATGCTACCTCTCCATAGGGGACCCAAGGCAGCTCACAGCAGTTAAAATCATAGTTAAAGTGCCATTAGACACTATATTAAAAAACCCAGAACAACTAGATTCAGAAAAGGTCCCAGCATGTCTCTTGGACCTACATAAAGGTAAAGGTAAAGGTGCCCCTTGACATTTAGTCCAGTTATGTCCAACTCTAGGGCGCAGTGCTCATCCCTGTTTCCAAGCCAGCGTTTGTCCGTAGACAGTTTCCGTGGTCACATGGCCAGCGCAACTAGACACGGAACGCTGTTACCTTCCCACCGAGGTGGTACCTATTTATGTTCTCGCATTTGCATGCTTTCAAACTGCTCTGGTCTTCTGACCTTGCAGCACAGAGGCTTCTGCGGTTTAACCCACAGCGCCACCACGACCCCTCTTGGACCTACTCAATACCTACTCCCAAAGGGATGGTCCTATATTCTTTATAGATTACAAAGAATGTATGTCAGTGTAAATTATGTTTGAGGTATAGAAAAATGAATTATACATTTCTTCTGTATCTGCCAGAATTATATAGGACTTCAAAAATACTGGAAACAATCCTTGAATATTTCTCGAGACTACGGCTGAAATCCATTTGTGAAGCTTATAGTGGGCAATGATGATCACAGCAGCAGCAGCAGCAAATCTCTGCTGATTAAAACCTTTCTTTAGCAGTTTCAGGGTGCATGTGACTTTGTCATATCATGTATGAGTGCATCTTGGAATCACCTTTAATCAGAGGCAGTTTGCCTTTAATCAGCAGCACTGGTGTGCAGGCAGAGCTCTACAACAGGATTTCAGTCTATGTGTAGTGATTTAAATAGAAATGAATATTCTGCTTTTCTAGGGCCTGCACCTCATTCATTGTGTCCCACTGTAACTGAAAAACCACAACAAAATGAAATATGGTACATTCAGTTTAAAAACTTCCAATAAAAATGCACAAGTTTATTGATATGAGTTAGCTTTCTCGCCATCTTTAATTTCATCAAATTATCAGAAATCTCATATTTCAACTGGACCGATATGAACAACAGAATTCTGTGTTGTTCAGCTAGCATCTTTCTAAATAAAATCTGGACAGAAGAATGGCTATTTGATTCACGAAGATGCAGAAAGTAAATTACAAATTTCTCTCTGCACCCATCTAATATGTTATTGCCCCTCAGCAAAAAAGTTAATTTAGAACATATTGCAAGGGAAAGAAATCCTTCCCCCTATAACTCTGTACAACACCCAGCATCCCAGACCATTGATGATGAACTAGGATGATGGGAGTTAGAGTCCAAAAACATCTGGAAGGACAGAAATCCTGTCATCCTTGAATTGGATTAAACCAGAAGAAAATGTGTGTCAGCTCGGTTTTGCTTCTTACAGATTTTTGTCTCCCTTATATTGATTTCATAAATTTATATATCACTCCATTAGTGCAAAGCACTATTCTCGGTGGTTAGCAGATGATAAAATCAAACAGACATAATAAGAACTTAATAAAGATCATAACATTAAGAACAAATCACATCAGAGAGCACCAGAGAGCCACAATGGAATGAATGTTGCTCATAATAGGGCAAGCAGAGCACAGGCTAAATGAACAAATTCAGACAAGGTTCCTATCCAAGGCCTTTGTAAAGAACCTCATCATAAGCATCATTTGAAAATAGGCAGGGAGGGAGCCAGTTCCATGGTAAGGACCAACTTCTAGTGGATGTTTTCCTGGCCTCCAACATGGCAACCCAGAGAAGCATGGCCTGAAGGGATCTGATCCCTTGATTTTCTTTGCAGCTGCCCATGTAGTCTAGGTAGGGCCTGTAAATGACAATGTCACTTTTGAGCAGGGCAGTGTTATGATTTAAAACTTCTCTCTTGCAGTGTGTCTGATCCTGGATTGTCACACGGCTAACAAGTTTCTGGTCCTTTCGGACGATGAGAAAAGTGCCACGTTCACTGTGGGCACGAAGAGGAAGGTGCCTTCACATCCAAAGAGATTTGATAAAGTGCCCTGCGTATTAGGGGCAGAGGGATTCACTAGGGGGAGATTGTACTGGGATGTTGATGTAGAAAAAGGAAAAACATGGGCAGTTGGAATTGCGAGGGAATCTGTGTGCAGAAAGAGACGGGTGAACTTTGATCCTGAAAATGGAATCTGGGCAGTAGGCTTAGATGAACAATATGTGGCATACACTGGTTCTGAATCTACTCCCTTGAGCCTGTCCAAACCCCTCAAGACAATTAGGGTAAATCTGGATTATATAGCAGGGGAGGTGTCATTTTCCAATGCTGATGGCGACACCTTAATCTTTACCTTTCCCCCTGCCAAATTCAGTGGAGAAGAAATATATCCTTGGTTTTGGGTCTTTGATGGATGCCTTCGTCTGTGTTGGTCAGAAGAAGAAAATTATCCAGACATGGACTATTTTGTGTCCACTGGCATTATTAAACCTTGGGAAGTTCATGAGTACATTGGACAATTTTGAGTCTATGACAAAGATTAGAAATGTTAAGATCAAAAGCCTTGTTTGTTCCAGTAAACAGCAAAGATTTAAAAAATCAAATTTTTTAATATTTCCATTTATAAGAGTTATGTTAATCAGCTTAGTACAGTACTTCACATTCTACTAGTGCTTTAGTTCAGTCAGTTTAGTAGTTCATATTGTTTAGCACTCGTGCTTACAATGTTAGGACCAAGCTAATACCACATACCAGCTTCTGATGGCTGTATGCGGGACTGTTGTCCTCTTTACAAAATGAATCAGGGAATGCAGATGGACAAGACCTCAGTGGGGGTGGATTGTTAAAATGTTTCCTTCACCACCACCCTACAGTTTTCTGTTGGGAAAATTCACCACCCGCATTTCTTTTTAATTTTGGGAGATGAATATGGGTGTGTCCAAGGAGAAAACGCAGCCTCCGTGCTTGGCTATTTACAATGAAAAGGCCATCAGCCAGACTAAAAAGCTCCTTTTTCCATCGTAGATGTCATTTCCCCCTTTAGCAATGTGGTAAACTGCCTATCATAGCATGGCCTTAAGCCTGATTGAGGCCTGTGTACCTGGACTCTGGTGCCAGCAGCCCAAGAAGTGGTAGATTTATTTTCCGCCTCTGCCCTCGTCACCTCCCAACATATTACTGCATCAGCATCTTCTGTCCATCACCTCTAATTCATTGTCTTCTACATTCACTGTTCTTGACCACAACCTCGCTCTAGTTTCTCTCTCACACACTCTTTATCTTCCCCTGTAGTGTGTGTGCTCATGTAATACAGTGAGTAGAAGGCAGCATTGCCACCTGAGAGATGAAATCAAGAGCTAGAACTTGAACTATCTGGTTAAAAAACATATATTCTCAATCCTTTCCCTTCTTCCTCCATGAATAATTGTCCCATTTTGCTCAATCGAGCCAGCCCCATGTTAAGAGAACAAGTGAATATTTGTGAACTTTTCAGAAAATTAGGTACAATGCATTAAATCTAAAGCATTCCTTGTTATAGGGCATTTAACAAAAGGCAGGTACCAGAACGAGAGAGCCTGAGATAATATGCCTGAGAGAAAAAAAAATGAAATAGTGGAAGAAGATAAAAAGGTTTTCACATGACTCACCTAATCTGCTGTTTTGGCCAGAGTATTAACTTTAAAAAAAATGTGCATAACCCAGTCTCTTTCCCTCTTATCTTCTGCCTGCAAAAACCAAATCTATATAAAGGGCTAACTGTGACTAATTTTGCATTTTCTATCTTTTATCTGATACTTTGAATGTGTTCTATTTTGCATTATTCATTTAATCATTCTATTGCATTCTGTCTGAAATTCATTGATTTTCCTCTGATTTCTTTTACATTGTTCCATCCTTTTCTGGAGCATAATCCCTGTTGTTACTTGAATAAATGTTTAAGCTAATTCTACCTGTGGATAGCCTTGGGTCATTTCGGGTTATGCCTTCTCACTTGCTGAAGCAAATGTTGCACCTCATTCTGAAGCACCAGTCAAGAATCAGTGGAGAAAGCATTCCGGAAATGGGGCACCATCAGAGAGCAAACCTAGTTCCTGCAAAGAAATGGAAAGAAGGGCCTTCTGTAAAGACTTTTAAGTCATCAACATGGTGGTACAGAGAGAATGAGATACAGTGGTGCCCCGCATAGCGAGGTTAATCCGTTCCGGATTAACCATCGCTATGGGGAAACATCGCTATATGGAACAAAAAAAGCCCATTGGAATGGGCCCAAAACTCACCGTTATGCAATGTTCCTCCATAGCGCAGGCATTTTCGCGCCCTCGGTAAGCGAGGGCTGGGCGCGAAAATGCTGCGCGCGGCCATTTTGGGTGTTCTGGCAGCCATTTTGGAACCGCCGAACAGCTGTTTAAAAAAAACCGCTTGCGAAGATAGGTAAGCGAAACACTTACCAATCGTCGCAAAGTGAGTTTTTGCCTATCTAGGCATTGGTATGCGATCGCATTAGCAATCCCAAAAAACGGATCTCTTTGCAAATTCGTCGTTAAACGGTGCGCTCGTTATGCGAGGCACCACTGTATTCTCTTTCTGATAGGCTTTTGCACAACTCTGGTTCATCCACCTGCTGCAATAAGAATATGACCTTTAAATGTTTTTGTGACCTAAGAATACTGTGAACTGGAACAGGAAACAAAAGATGACTTCCTACTTTGTTGTGGGTTTTTGATAAATATAGGCATTTCCTTGAAGAGCCATATAAACCTAGGTAAATGTAACTGTTGGTCCCAACTAGAGAAAATGACAGAGAGAAAATGAACTGAAATAATAGGAGCTTTCCAAAGTTAACATTTGGGTAAGGTCCGCTGATTCAATGATTCTTTCTATTTCAGCTGGATTAAGGCCGTAATATTCAAGTTATGCTGCCCAGGTTAGGGAAGCCTGAGAAATACTGACCCCATCTATCAAAGCCTTTGTACATATTACTGTGTTTCCCCCAAAATAAGACAGGACCTTATATTAATTTTTGCTCCAAAAATGCATAAGGGCTTATTTTCAGGGGATTTTTTTTATGTACAACAATCTATATTTATTCAAATACAGTCATGTCATCTTCTGGTTGCTGCACAAGGGTAGAGGGCGGGGTTTCACTTAACGGGCTTATTTTTGTGGTAGGGTTTATATTACGAGCATCCTGAAAAATCATACTAGGGCTTATTTTGAGGTTAGGGCTTATTTTAGGGGAAACGGGGTAGTACTGATGAACAGTATTTAATCCTAGTTAAGAGTACAGTGGTGCCTCGCATAACGAGCGCACCGTTTAACGAATCCGCATAGCGATGTGGATTTAGCGATCGCTAATGCGATCGCACACCGATGGTCTAAATGGCCAAAATTCGCTTTGTGACGATCGGTAAGCGTTTCGCTTACCGATTTTCGCATAGCGATTTTTAAAATCAGCTGTTCGGCGGTTCCAAAATGGCCGCCGGACGCCCAAAATGGCCACGTGCAGCGTTTCGCACCCTGCCCTCGCTTACCGAGGGCGCGAAAACGGCGGCCGGATGGGGAAACATCTCATAACGGTGAGTTTGTGCCACATTGGAACGCATTAAATGAAGTTTAATGCGTTCCAATGGGTTTTTTCGTTCCGTATAGCGATGTTTCTGCATAGCGAAGGTTAATCCGTTCCGGCTTAACCTCGCTATGCGGGGCACCACTGTACTCTCCTGAACAGAGCCGATACATGAAACGTTGCAAGCTTTGCTTATGGCATTGTCCACAATTATTGGAACCATGAGTAAGTTGTAAAAATGAATTATGGGAACCTTAGGAATCAAGAGTGTGTACGAAATTCCAGCAAAAGAACATAGGATTAATTTTGTTTACGGAGCGAAACTAGATAGTCTTCCAACTCCATGAGGCAAAACAGCTGCAAACATTTGGGATAGACATTTGTTTGCCAACAGGGGTTTGGAGGCACCTAAAAACCAGAGGTTAGCTGGAGCACATGCCTGTCAAAAGACCATGTCTTCAAATCTCCCAAGAGATCAAGAAACAGAATGCTGGTTAATAAGCACCTGTGCTGTGTTGCTGCCTTCATACTATCATTATTTTGAGAAACTCAATCTCACAGACCCAAGCACACCGGTTTGTAATTTCAGAACCTTTTGAAGTTAGCCAATCAGCCCTTTTATGACCTGGAACTTGGAAGTTGTTGCTTGAAAATGTTCTCTTCTTCCACATCCATGGGTTACTTTGGGACACAGTTGTGCCCGTCGCTCCAAACTGCCCCCCTTGCTCCCTGGGTGTTGACATCCCTCTGTAATTTAATGTCTGCTGGCCTTGGCAAAACCACGCTGGACCAATTTAGCCCTTCCTGTTTGTAGTAAACCCTCTTACCTCCAAGTTCCCTCCCATGTTTAGTTTAGCAGCTCCTGTTTCAGTTTGCTCCTGGTTTTCTTGGGAAGTGTTAGTGAGGAGATCCCTTTTCATTGTAATTTTGAGATAACATCAGAAGTGGCTACTTCTTGGGCTTAAGAGCTAAGACAAGCCCTGACGTCTGAAAAACAAGAATTCAAAAAGCAAGAATCTATGTTTACTATCAACGACGTTGACAGAATCAGAGGAAAAGAAGCTGTAAAGTGAACTTCCAGGTACGTTGCAAAGGATTTGTTCTTCTCTGTCTCTAAGATACTGTATATTAGATCAGGAAGACTTCTTTGTCTTCCTGATCTAAAGTTTATTGAATATCTCCCATTACCCAAATAATCCCGCAAGGCATGGCATGGTATACTCTAGCCTCATATAAATAACCCCAATAAAGCCTGTCATTGCTTTTGTTTTAGCTTGCTAGAAGTCTAGAAGCCCACATTTGCATGCTTCCTGTCCAGCATGGAAAAGTAGCACACTGACCTCTTTTACTTCCAAATTATGGCAATGACACCAAAAGATCCTAGCATTAATAGCCATGCTCCATTTTTATGAACCAAAGACCAAGGTTTTTTATTGATTCAGTCCATTTCATGTTCAGTCTGCCTTCCAATTTCCCTAGCATTATTGTCTTTTCTAGTGAATCCTGCTTTCCCACATGTCCAAAGTACAATAGCCTCACTTTATTTATTTTTGCTTCTGGAGAGACTTGAGACACAATTGGATCTAGTGCCTCTTTGTCTTTCTGACAATCAATGGTACCCATAAAGTTCCCTTCTAATGCCATATTTTGAGTGAGTTGGTTTTCTTTCCTTTTCTGCTTGGTCAATAGAACACCATAGTCGTTTTGGTCTCCAACAACATACCCTTACACTTTCTAGTACCTTCATAGCTGCCTATCTAAGTCCCAGTCTTCCGACTCTTGGCTGCACTCTACATTTGGATTTGATGACTCAGCCTAAGTATAGAAAATCTTTAACTAGTTTGATGTCTTTATTGTCAACATTACCTGTGCTTATTTCTTTTGTAGCCGCTCAAAAGGAGTGGCTTGCCACCAGATGGGTGGGGCAGAAATTTAATAATAAATAATAATAAATAAAATAAACAACACCTGAGTAATTAATGTCTTTTAAAAGTTCATCTCTAATCCTGGCTTTTGCATTTTCTTTTTTTAACTTTCTCCAGTATTGCTGCTTTCTGCCAATAAAAGCCTCTCATCGACATATTTTAAATTACTAATGATTCTTCCATCAATTCTCTCTCTTTCATCTGAGTCTAATCCACTTTTCCCTGATAAATTTGGTATACCAATTGAAAAGACAGGGAAATAAAACTTACTCTCAGAAGTGAATTTCAAATTGTATACAAGTTGAATAGACAAGAAGTAAAAATGCATCTTTGATAATAGGGAAAGTATTCTGTTTCTCCATATTCTGTCCTAAAGGTAGCCTCGTGTCCAGTGTAAAGATTACACATCAGATAATAAAATACAGGAGGCAGAACCATTTCCTTTAGAATGAATCACAACTTTTCATGATTCCACCCAGGCTGCACTTCACTTTCTAAAACTGTAGATCCTTTATCAAATGATCCATTATCAAAATAATCTGTTGTTCTTGCATGTCTTCCATATAGTTCTTCAGTATATTGCCTGCCTTGCCTTTATTTTAACCTTATCCAGTTATGTATTCTCTTGTTGATCTTTCAGCACCCCAATCTTTATTTAATCTCCCCTTTGATTTCTTAAATCTTATAGAATTAGATGCTTTTTAATTTTTTTGTTTTGTTATCCTCTTATATATCTTTGCAACAATTATTATTAAATTTTGGAAGAAGGAAGGCGCCCCTTGAGAGCCAGCCATTCTGAACACCTGCAGCCTTCCTGGTGTGGTTTAGCAGGTCACTTGGTGTGGTGCAACTGGTTTGCTTCTGCTCTCTCTATCACTCTATAATGTGGATTGCAGGAGTGTGGCTATTTAATGACTGCAGGGGATATTTAGGAGGGTGAAGGTAAGGGTGGAGCGCTGTCTTGAGGAACATGCTTAATTCTAGGTCAAGCAATTTATCTGTGAAGTCCAGTGTTGTCTGTCCTGACTGGTAGCAGTTTTTGCGGTCTCAGGCTGAGAAAAGGTGCACAGAAGAGAGCGACTAAAATGATAACTGGGCTGGAGCACCTAATTCTCTACCCAGTCCCTTTTGTTGCAGGTACTGAAAAGGGGAAACATGGGCCTTTTGTATCCAATTGAAGCACTCCAGTATAAAGCTATGGTGTGTTCCTGTAAACACTTCCATTCTTCCCTCCGTGCAGCTAGACCTGGCTCCTTTTTTGTTCCATAAGAACATAAGAAGAGCCCTACTGGATCAGGCCAAGGACCCATCTAGTCCAGCTTCCTGTATCTCACAGGGGCCTCCCC